GATAAGTGATAAGTGCCTCAAGGGCAACTTCCAGGGCAGGTTTAGAGTTGGCGTTACTAAAAACAATTCCTTCGGATTTGTTCCAAACTAGAAAGTTTAAGAAAACATTTCTCTTAAAAACAAGACAACTTTCCAAGCGATTTCATGTACTTTGAGTGATTGTTCACACCCTGAAATCAGTACTATAATGATTTCTGCATTAGGCAGAGGATTTACAAACATTATCTTTCACTTCCCTCAGTTAGCTAAGGTTCCACAAGTAGATCTCACTACATAGACAAAGTGAGAGACAGCAAAAGCCAGAGGAGTGTTTCTTACATCTACCTCAGGAACTGAGAACACAGACAGGGTTACAGGGAAAGGAATAAGACACAGCACTCAAGCTTACAGGCTGTAGCATCACAGGACTGGGCTTACAGAGATGGTTAAAATAACCATGCTTATTCCTCCACTCACCAGCACCACCCTGTTTGAGAAGATAAGAGGCAAGAACAGTTTTTCCAAGTACACACAGCGCACAGGAATTAATCCTAAAATGTCAGCACAAGCAGTTGATACATTCTGCAACAGGTTGAAAACTGTATAGAAGCCAAATAAAACAAAAAGCCTTGTTGAACTGGAACGGTTATACAACACTTTGCTCAAAAGCCACTTCAAATACTGTACTGAAACCCAAAAAAACTTACAAGTTTAACATGACTATATTACAATTTGACAGTAACTACCGACAGGAATCCAAGCCTCACCTCACTTAAGCAACAACTGCATATGATCAAACCACATTCTGCTTTCAATTCACTCAAAATTACATTCTAAATTATATTCTAAACTCCACGCCTGTAACCTGTACATTTTATTAATTCGAGTCCTCAACTTTAATGTCTTTCTGGTTTAGCTCCTATTTCAATCTTCCAAGAGCAACACAGTGTGGTTTTAAAGCTCTAGCAGTTCCCTCATCTATTACTGCACAACAGAGAAGAGCAGGACAAAATACCTCCAAAACTTAGTTGTACATAATCCATTTCCACATATTCGACTGCCTATTAGCTCCGTGCAAGCATTCACCAAGAGGCACCCAGACCTCCCTTACGTGGCTTACCGCATTCATTCGGGTCACTTTTAGCAGGCTTTGGATGCTGCATGACTCAATAAAGCCATCTTAGGTGCCAAACGTTTTGCCTTAAGATCTACTTCCTGTTCAGTTAATGCAATAGTGGTCAAAGACAGAAAATGCTTATTTCAGCACCAGAGGTCATAATGAGCACTAAGACCTACCACTATTCTCACACCAGAACTAGAAACCAACTGGTTTTGTTAGCTCAAGGAGTAATATCTGTGTAAGAGCAGGGGCTTACAGTGACCAACTCCATGCAAGCCAACTGGATAACTTTAGAATACATAAGTAGATGAGCAACCTGCTATGGAGGTAACTCACTGGGTGAATATGCCATCAATAGCACTGTACAGCATGTGTATGCTCCCTCCCAAAAGGAGACAGGAGGGCAAGCTCCTTTCTTGGCAGCAGTGACAACTCCAGTTAGACAGCAGCAGGTAGGTACTTGCCTAGCATTACTTTATGCCCTTGATCATCTCACAGTAACTTGTTTGTGCAGCTATAGAAGGTAATGAACATTATCTTCAAGTTTTAGAAGATAAACATAGTCAACCAAGGCTTAAGAGTGGGAAATCTGTCCCACAGATTTCATTTCAAGCTTCCTGGTTGAAGAGAAAAAAAGACTTCCAGAGTTCAAATGTCCTCCAAATTCCTCAGATTTCTATACTGGATGTCTTCCATAACATACATTTAGCAAGCACATAAGGTCTTCCTCTGCTGAAAATGAGCACTAGACAAAATGTATTAATTCCTTTCAGAAATAAACAGAAATGACAAGTCAGCCATCAATGCTCTCATAAAATTAGTACCTAATACATGTTAATTTGTTACTAGAAATGACGTGCTTACAATCCTTATTCTAACAGACATAAGTCACTTCATATCAATCATCACTTTGCTGTTCTGTTTAGCTCCAGACATCAATCTTAGTGATGTTCACATGTATCTTAAACTCACTCACAAAATAGATCTCTATTTCTTTTGTAGACAAATCCCAACACCACAAATTAATTCATGTGTAAATCAGCTTTACAGCTCTCTGACCTCAAAATCTGCTCTAGAACACAATAATATTCTTAATGTCACAAACAGCCTTCTGTAAACAGGGAAAGCCACTTTCATCTTTCCTCCCAGACAGCTCAAGTTCAAAGTTTGGGTTGCTGGAAGTGTTTTGAGAAATAGACCCAACCATTTCCCACTAAGAAGTCTTAAGAAACTATGCATGTAATTACTTCTGAAACTTTCCGACTGCTTACAAATGACACATACTGCAAGTCCAAGCAGATGCTCATAGAATGTTTCCTTGTTCACCTTACATAGTTGAGAGGTAAGACAAAACCCTACCAAATAGTATAACAACTTTGAGACGTTAAGACAGAATTTAGCAAAACTTCGGCAAAATGTACTCAAACTGGCAAGTTGAAGATGTCATTATAAACACAGCATACAGCAACAACAAAAACAAGGATGCAATTCCACCTGCTATTAAAGCTCAAAACTTTCCGCTCAAGAATTGCCATACCAGCACCCCCAACTTTAACCTGACTTCCAGCTAAGTTTGATGTGAAACCTGGCAGTTTTCCTTATGAATATCCTTGGAACAGTTAAAACTTCCTTTATGGACTGTGCTAAAAATGTGTAACAGTTTGCTAACAATGAGCACAAAGTTGGAACAAGTTATCACAGTGCTCAAGTACAGTGACCCAACTTGTGTTGGAGACTAGCACATCAATACGCCTCACTACCAAAGCAAGAACACAGAAAACAATTCACCTGCATTTGTTACATCCATTTTCACAGCTGGACAAAACTCAAAGTTAGAGGGGTTACAACACAGCCATCAGGAGATAAGCACCCTGCTATTACATCAGAGAAAAATCCCCATCCCTCCTTCCCTCCCACACACACCTGCACTTATGCAGCCTAGCCAGCTTGAGGTTGCACACCTATTCTTACCAGGATAAGGGGAGGAAACAGTCACTCCTGTATCATCGTGCCTTGCTCCATTCAGCAGTACCTCAGTAGCCTAGTCAATAAGCAGACGTTAATCACAGATATTTAACTGATACATGGGGACCACAGCTGGCATACCCAAGAAGTATCAGCACCCCCACAGGACTTGGCTCAGACACTCCAGACCACCTGGCATAAACGAGGGCAGCCTGGCCTCTCTGAGCTAGGAGAGTATGCCATGCTTAAAGGAATGCTTCCACAACAGTTCCAGTACAGAACAGCTATACCTGAACTATTCTAGAAGCGTACTTAAGCTACAGGCAGGTGAACAACATGAAAAGGAAGGAATGCAGCCTTCCTCAGCCTTACACCTAGCTTTCAGAAGATTCACAGCTGAAATATATCAGAGTTCTAGCTATTATTTGAGAAAGAACTGTAGTGTCATGAGTGGCTCTACTGCAAGTTAGAACATAACAGCTGTTAAGGAACATTTAGTAATGGTACATAAGGAGTTACAGGCCTCTCCTGTTACTTATCTTTCTTTGTAACTAATCTTCCATGCTGCTTTATTTCATTGTACAGAAGGCTATTCTGCAGGCACGAAAGGATCACCCATATCTTTACATGCAGACCCTGTCAGCTATGTCGTTACATTCCTAAAATACCTATGCAACTTAACAGTGACAGTTTCCCTCACTAATGATGACACAGCTACGTTAAAGGCCATTTATTACATGTGCGCTGCTACACTTCTGACCCTGAACAAGTTAAGCAATAACCCAATACTTTTAAGATTATTATGCCACATACTACTGAAAATACAGACAGAACCGTCAAATAAAATTCAACAGCACTAGGAGTGGAGGAATGGAAAACAGAACACCAAACAGCCAAGCAGCATTGCATCCTCAGTTTCCATCTCTGAATGCATCTGGCAGCACCGCATCTTCAATGAAACAGCTCAGTGGCTTTCTCCTACCCCTCCCCTGTAAGAAAGTCAGAACAGCAGATCTGCACCTGCCAGCTTACAGCACTGTCAGCCTTCCCAGCTCCTAGCTGGCTTGCAGAAGCAATTTGAACCAATACTGCCACATGGCATCTGCTAGCTTTGTTTAATCATGCTTAGTTCCACCCTTCTGTTTCAAAATTAAGTGAGAGTTGTTAGAAGTTGTTCAAATAGCTCAACATCTAATTGCAGCACTAAAACCCGATGCAATTGAGACCTGTGTTTAAGCCAGTACTAACTCTGCCAGTCCCAGTGATAGTCCCCATCCACACAGTAATGCAGACCTACATTCTGAAGTTCAAGCTACCCTTCAGATCTAACCATATAAAATGTATCTATGTATTAAAGAAACCCCACACTGCGCAAACTCCAGCCCATCTGAGGCTCAGCCCCAAGCAGAAACACGTCCCACTACCAGAAGACGCGTTAGGAGCGAGCACGGTGCAGGGCACGGGCTCCGCGCGGAGAGCGGCCCAAGGCCGAGCGGCCGCCCGCCCTGCCAGGCGGCCAGAGCCCCCCCGGCGGCCCGAGGTACCCGCAGCCCGCCGCCGGGCCCCGCCGCCGCATTCCCGGCCACGCACACGTCGGCCGTGCCGCAGCGACGAGCGGGGTCGGCGGCCCCGAGCCCGCAGCCCCACTCCGCCCCGCATAGCTGCGGGCCCGGGCCGCGCGGGCAGAGCGCGGTCACCGCTCCCGGGAGCGAGCGGCGGGCCGGGCGGAGGGAACGGCGCTACGGCCCCCACCGCCCTCACCCCGCAGGGGTTGGCGGCCGCCCCCGCCATTTTGAGGAGGGGGGAGAACCCGGGGCCTCCCCCCGTGCCGCCCGCGGACGGCTCCCGCAGCCCCGACCCGCGCGGCCTCGGCGGTCCCGGTGGAGCTCCCGCTGCCGGTCCCCGCCGCCGCCGGCCGCCCGGCGGGCTGCGCTACCTGCCGGCTCGGGCCGTTGGCGGGTCGACCCCGCGCGCCGCGCCGCGTCCCTTTCCGCCATCTTGTCCGGGTTTAAAATTAACTCGCCGTGACGTCAGAGCTCCGCCGCGAGACCTTTATCGCCCGGCGGCGGCGCGCGGGGCGCGGGCAAGGCGGGTCCTAGCGCCTTCGGCTGCCCGCCGCGGGAGGGGCAGCGCATGCGCAACCCGCAGCCCTGCCGGTGGCGGGAGGACAAGGGCGCATGCGCGGTTTGCGTTTGACGGGCCCCGAGGTGTGAGGGGGCTGTGTCGGCGCGGGGTGGGCAGGAGGGTGCCGCCGCTTCGGGCTCCCTGGTGCCGTTCAGCGCCCGGCTCTGCCCCAGCAAGCTGTTCGGACTGGCTGCGGAAAGGCTTTAGGCCTGCGAGGTTGCCTGTTGTAGAGGTCACGTCATACATTTCAATGGTAAATCAGCACGTGAGCCGGGCAACAGCGTTGCTGAAACCCCTCTGAGTGCAGCAGTGCTCCTTGTGTAGACCTTACCCTTCTCAGGGCCCTGAGCTACCCTAGCTGAGCTGGTTCTGGAGACATGGCTTTGAGTGGCAGCAAGCTAAAAACACCAATGCCTAAACAGGTGGAAGGAAAAGTCAGACGAGGTTGAAAACCAACGTGTTCTGTCATAGCCCCAGTGAGCGCTTTCTGAACCTGCACACCCTGCTTTCAGTTGGGCACAAGGGGCTTTGTGTCACTGATACCTGGCACACCGCTGACAGGCCTTGCCTCCAGCAGCTCAGTGTCAGAAAGAGATGGCATAACCACAGCAGCTGAGTGCTGTAGAAGGAGAACAGTGGCTCGTATGAGTCGCTGTGAAACTGACAAGAAGCATTCTACTATGCTGTATTTAAGCCAGCACAAATGGAAGCAGAATGCTCTGTATAGAAGTGCAGAGGAAAACACTGCCATTGGCCTTCTGCAGTTTAATATCCCCCACTTACTTGTGGCAGCTTGCTATGGAAAGTAAGTGCGTCACTGCCTGTCCTTTTTATCTCAGCCCAAGTCAAAAAGCAAACTTTCCTTGACATCAGAAAGAAACCAGAACACACTCTGGATTTGTGACTTTCAAGAAAGGAGGGATTGGGGGGTATTTCAGACATACATAGATAGGCAAATGGAAAAGCCCTGAAGTAAAACACATGGAAAATCAGAAACCCTGTTAGTATGACATAGTTAAGATTCAGCAGCTCAGTATGAATCTAAGGAGCTGGGAAAAAAAAATTAAAAGCAATAAAGATGGTTCCAAGTTCTGTTGCTAGTAAACAGTCTTATTTCTGATCAAGTCTGAAAGAGTTCATGCAAAGAAGAGTTTGAAATACTGCATATACAGATGGATAGATTTCTGTTCCATGCAGCAGGATTTACTGCTGCTGTAATGTGAGAACAGATATTAAGAACGCAGAGGTCAGAAAGCTCAACCTTAATTCTGCTCTGTTCACACGAAGAAAGGAGACATTTTCCAAGCTGAGGATTTTGCCTCAGGAATGCAGACTTGCAGACTCCTGTCTGCAAAGGTCCCCACCTCCACCACTCTCCCAGTTGTTTGCTGCTTGCCTCTAACCAGGCTAGCAAGGAGTTAGTACTGAAACTTCTTAAGCCAAACACTGGTTTCATACTGAGAAAGCCCAGATCAGATTCAGATTCTTTACACTTTTCCATATACAATTATTCTCTGTCACCATCTCTAACCTGTATGCTGCTTGTTTAAGGTAACCTGTGCAATGACAAATCAGCAAGCCTAGCACCTACCTGAGTCACTGTAAACACTGTGCTGGCACTGGGGAACGGGGCAGTCTCGCATCCTGAAGGGCTGAGGGTCCTGGGTCGAGTTGGAGAGGTTTCTGTCAGAGGTACTGAGCTTAGTGATATCTTTCCTCATTTGCTTGGGGCTTTAGAACCAAATGAATGGTAAGACGAGTTTCAGCCTTCCCTCCAGGCTGCAGAGAGGTATAGAGAGAGCTGAAGAAAGCCAGCTGTGAGATAAAGGTGGACTTCTGGCAGCCCCCTCAGCAACAAAACATGTCTGGTGAGCAGTGGCTGCTCTGCTCTGGTCAGATAGTCAGCTGCTATCTGACCAGAAATCACTGAAGGAGCCACGTCACTTAGATTTCCAAACAGTCTCCCATTAGGAAATCCACCCAGATCTCAGGCTTGCTCAGAGAGTCAAGCATGTTCCCCTCAGAGCTAGGACAAACCCTGCAAGACACCTTGTCTTCTTTTTCCATGTGAAGGCTACCCAAGCTATAGCTGACTCCGTAAGAAAGCATGCTCCCACAGACACATCCTGCTAGGTTCTGCCTGAGCTGTCCGGCATTTGCCTCACCACCTCACTGAGGATTCCAGCCTCACAGACAAGCTTGGTTTCCAATGCATTTTTTCTCACTGATATTCACTGTTTCGCATGGCAACCTCTTGAACTGAGGGATGTTTGCAACCATCATGCAGGTGATCTCAGACTTTTTGTGTGTCTAATTTAGAAAGTGCCCACCACAGCCCTGAGCTTGTACCTATTTGTGTGTTTGCTGTGGTGGGTAGCAAGCACGCAGCTTGGAGTTTGCTCAGGCAAAACCAAGATAGTGCTTAACAAAGATCCATACTTGGTTGGATGCTTTCAGCAGTGCATGCTGAGCATGGAAACACGGGATAGCAAACCTACCTGGGCAAGCAGCTCCCCTGCAGAGAGCTCTGAAAAAGCAGAAGGAGCAGAAAGTGAGCTAGGAAGGGGAAGAAAAGAACAGTTCACCAAATCCCCTGAACCTGCAGCTTTTCTGCATGCTCAGTGGAGACAGCATTTCAGCTGGCAGCAGTGCATGCTCTTAAGAGGCAGAGAGCAGCCCCTCACATACCATTCATTTATAGCAAGCCGAGTGGGAGACGCATCCCATCCCCTCTGGTGATGACTCAAGAGCTGCTCCTCTGGGGAAGAAGGATGAAATAACGTTGAATTTTAGCTGTTGTTAGAGCAGCTCAGAGCACGTTGCTAGGCACCAGCTGCAGAAATTGCCTGCAGGTGCTTTCACAGGAGGGATTGGGCCACTTTGCTGGTCTCTCCCAAGACAAAACTGGGTTTGCAGCCTGAGTACCTTTGAAGCTGGACATAATCCATTTTCAGCCTCAAGGGGTTGTTGCACAATCTTCCCAAGATTAAGGGCTTACATCAAGAGGCTGTGGCACTGCCAGAGGAAGGACAATGGACAGACTCCAGAGTAATGCTTTGGTTTAGGTGTCCCCTCTGAGAGATGGTGGCAATTCCAGAAGTGCGTATGGAGAAGGAGTCTTCTGCCCTCACTTCAGGATGGTTGAAGTTTTCAGAGGAGTGAATAGCTAAGTGATTTACTTCTGTTGGTGGAAATGAAGATCTCTAACCAGCTGAAGCTTTCATGTACAAGCATTTCCTCAAACCAACTTCTGTCATTTGGGTCTCTACAAACACAGTGCAAATTCCATCTCACTGTTAGGCAAAAGCATAATGAGATAAGGACAGTTCAAAAGCCAGGGCTAGAAAATGACTCCCTTACAGGCTGCTTACAGAATGCTAAAGAACCTGCAGCAAAGAGAAGCTTCTCTGCCTACAATCATTGCACTGCCCCTGGCCTCACCCCAAGGATGTGTCTGCCTTGGTTTGTGACCTGCCTCTGTGTTCAAAAATGACACCAGCCTGGGAGTACACACACATTAAATGCCAGCATGATGCTAACTTTTTCACACGAGTTTTTAACTGCTTTTTCTCACTTGATGTGGGTCCCTCTATATACCTCGGGGGTTAAAGGCCCCTTTGTTGTCATTTCCTAATAGCTGCTTAGCACAGTAAAGCCACCACAAATAAGCTCACCACATCCCTAGACTCTTGCTCCCAAACCTCTTGTCCTAGAAAAAGAGGAATTGCTCCAGCTGTCAGTATGATGCCCATCAAACATCACACCACCCACTGGAGCCTCTCTCCACAGCATAGATCTATTTCTGCTCTGCTTAATACAAACAAGAAGACACGTGGCTCAGGGAAGGAAGAGACCCCAATGGTGTCTACGCAATGCATGGTACTGTGCTTCAGTACACGCTGCTGGTGCTTTTCCTGCATGATGCAGCAAAAAAGATGTGGATACCAGAGCCAATTTGAGATGAAAGTACCCCATCATCACATGAGCATCAGTGTTGATTCAGAGTCTCATTTGAAAAAAAAAATGCTTAGTAGACATTTTATTATTTAGTGTAATACAGTAAGACCAATTGCTTAGTTCAGTGCTCTTTTTTTCTAAGAAACATTCCTATCAGCACAGGTTTAACTTTTAGATGAGGTTATTTTTCCTTGTAGATTAACTGGTCTTTGGTATCACAAGGTATCTCCTCTGCCACAGGGAAAAGCATCACTGTGGTACGGATTTGAATAAAGCGGTGCAGCTTTATATCCAGGGAAGGTATTTTACATCGAGCCCAGTGGACGCAGGCCTGGCTCTGGGTTGTTTGCAGGACTGAATGTGACTGGCCCACTGTACAAAAGGTGCTCATTACAGAAGAGTTTATTTGCATCCTTCACAGCTACGTGACTCGGGCCCTGCTGGGCGAGATTTACAGGTCCCTTAAGAAAGTGGGTGGTTCATTCCCAGGGTTTCACGTGGTTTCTTCGCCTGCAGGTCCAGACTGGCTGCACAGTGATGAATTAGCTCAAAGAGGGATTCTTCTGTGAATTCCCACGACACCAAAGAAGCCAAGTTGCAGCTCTCATGATCCTTTCCAAGGAAGCAAACTCTCACCAGCCCTGTCCCCCACATTTCCATCCCCACACCCCCGGATGCCACATCAGGACAGACCTCGGTGCAATATAACCACAACCTACTGTGCTCAACTCTCCTCAGTAAGAGAAGATTTGGGTTGTTGTGGGCTTCCTCATCAAGCTCACAGGCAGCAAAGCCCAAGCCTCAAAAATGTAATAGTCACCAGCAGGAGCTGGTTTAAGACTCAGTTCCAACAGTGCCTTGGTCTCTAGGGATCTTCCACCAGCACTGTGGGCTTATGACAGGATGCCTGAAGCAGAAACATCCTCCAGGAAAAACAGATAGCCA